ATATAAGCCCTACCCCCAAAATAAGCCCTAATTAAGTGACACCCCACCCTCCACCATTGTGCAGCAACCAGGAGGTAACATCAGTGTATTTGAATCAATGTAGATTGTTGTACATTAAAAAATAAAACATCCCCTGAAAATAAGCCCTAATGTGTTTTTTGGAGGAAAATGTAATATAAGACCCTGCCTTATTTTTGGGGAAAACACGGTATGTATGTAGTATACCATCCAAATAGTGAGTAGAGTTTTCAAAGTATTTGAGATACTTAAGGAGTAGTTTTACCACTGCCACTCCCCTACCCCATGGGGTTCATGTCTGTGCAAGGACTGGAACACAGTCTTCTGCTTCCTGGTCTATCTTCCTGTTCACTGCTACAGATTTCCTCAACATTTAATGTAGCATACAGTTTCACACTTGCAGTAGAGATTCAGATTTATACCAGAACAAATACAAGTTGTAGTTGTGTTTCCAAGTAAATATACCAAGAGGATAATCTTCCACTCTTTTTTTCTTCATTCCTGTCTTCTGTCCATCCTTCCTTCCTCTTGACCAGAGATTCAGGGGGCAATCATTATTGAGTATAATGTGGGAAATGCTATGGGTTTACAGTAGGCTGATTCACATTTTCCCATTGATTACATGACATAAAAGGAAATGCAAATCAGCCCAGAGGTCCCCCCACAACAAATCCTTAATTTTTCCCCTCCATTACTGGGGCTTCTACTTTTTATATAAAAAATGGATCCATTTGCATTGGTTCAGAAGTATGATTGCTGAGGAAAGAAGATGAGCAGCATGCACATGCACACAAAGTGGTGTTTTGCTGCTCCAAGTGACTTCCTCCTTGCCTCATGAAGGTGGGACTTTTCTTTTTTCCCCCCAGCTTATGAAGGGAGCTTCTTTCTGTCAGCAAGAGTTAAGGTAGATCATTTTAACTGTGCCCCCTACAGGGCTTCAATAGAGCTGCAGACAAGCAGCAAGCAAGCCTTTTCTCCTGTCTTCATGTGTGGCCTCTTAAATCAAACAGACTTGAATTCCCTGATGTGACTTCACAGCGAGTGAATGGAAATGAATGTGCATTTCCCTTACTGTGTAGTCACATCCATACACCGCTTAAGTGAAAACAGAAGTCAGCACTGCAGTCAGTATCATGAACATGCAAAGCAAATTGGAAGAGCTGGTCCAAGGATGCTTAAGGGTTTTCAGGAGGACTAAAGAAAATGGTCAGTATGACTAATGAGATCCCTCCCACAGATCTGAGAATTGTTAGCTTGGAGATGGTATTTTTTATTTCTAAAGAATGAAGAGACAATCGACCATATTACAGATAGTAAATACAAGCTATTCCCCACATTTCTCCAACTCACATATATACCATTCCCCGTCACCATTTAAAGAAATATTGACCAAGAATCTAAATTTCTTTTCAAACCACGTCTCAAAGTCTATTTTGTCGGCATATTTTAATAATGGCTTCCAATTTTCCGTGAATTTACTATGGCTTATTTCTCCTCTATGTAATCTAACTTTATTGGCCATTTTTTCCATGAGCAATGTATGCCATATTTTACTTGTGAATACTTGCAATGATAGATCTTGGGCTTTCCCCCCCAATTTTTAGCTATTTCAGATCTTGCGGTGCTTATAAGATTTGCAACTAATTCTTTATATTGTAGTTTCTCATTTTCCCCTGTGAATAATGAAAACAACATTAATGTTTCATTAATATCTATTTTTTGATTAGTCAGTGTTTCTATCCATCTAACTACCTCCTGTCAAAAAGTTTCTATTTTGGGGCAAGAGATCCACATATGTCCCAGAGTTCCTTTTTGTCCACAGTTCCTCCAACATTTATCAGATATATCTTTATTAATTCTATGTAGTTTTGTAGGGTATAGATGCCACCGATGCACTACCTTTAGAACTGTTTCTTTTGCACTTGCTGATATAGATTTATATGGGTATTTTTTCCAGATTCCTGTCCAAATTTCCTCAAGTATATTAATATTTAAATTTGTTTCCCACACTGTTTTAGGGAGTGAATGGAAATGAATTTGCAGTTCTCTTACTGTGTAGTCACATCCATACACCGCTTAAGTGAAAACAGAAGTCAGCACTGCAGTCAGTATCATGAACATGCAAAGCAAATTGGAAGAGCTGGTCCAAGGATGCTTAAGGGTTTTCAGGAGGACTAAAGAAAATGGTCAGTATGACTAATGAGATCCCTCCCACAGATCTGAGAATTGTTAGCATGGGGATGGTATGAGACAGTTCACTGCCTGAGAAAAAGGAAAGGATGAGGCCTCATCCCATAGCAAATGAACAGAGAGTTGAAGTTTCTGAGAGTTTAGATTTGTGGAAATGTTGATGCTGCTGACACTTTCATTATATTTTAATCATTTATCAGTGGATTATTTTTTTCTAATTTGGTGGTCATAAGCTTTTATTCCAGTTCAGAAAAAGATGGAAAATGGCCCCAGCTATTTGTGTTTGCATCTGCTAGGAGAGTATGAGAATGATTGATCCAGAAGGCTAATCTAATCAAGCTAGAGTGTGATGCAGGTGCAAGCTTATATTTCCATTGTATCTTTTAAATACACTCACCCATGGGCATGCATACCATGGAGTTATTAGGGGTATGGCCCAAATCGTTTCCATTTCCACAATATGCGAAGACAAGGAAGAGGCATGAAAGCTGCCAAACAGAGTAGGTGGAAAATCAAGTGTGAAATTGGCAATTTTTTGAGTCACACACTAAGAATTGGGTTTTATTGTTAGACATGAAACAACGGGAAGGATCGTGTTGAGGTGATGCACTCCATGCAATAACTATTTATCAGGTCTGGGTAAGAAGGTTAACCTGGCTTTGTAAAACATTTGAGAGATTATGATTTAATTGACAAGAGGCAAGGTGTGGCAAACCAATGAGTTACTGGCCAGACCAGGGATTCAGGAACACTGTGTAAATAAAATCAAATATTGTTTCTCTAGCATTTGATGACTTCTTATAATGCAGGTACATAGACAGGCTACAGAAGGAAGGTAGGAAGTGAGAATAGCATCCCACACACCCCCACCTCACTTTGAGCCAGTCTCAAATCACTGGTTCACCTACACCAGTCTTGCAAAAGCTGGCATCATCCACATTTATTCAATACTATTCAACATCTCTCATTATCCGCTGTGAATGCAATTAATGGCCATGCTAAATGGGGATGGTGGGGTGAGAGGTCCTATCCAGGCTGCTTTGGCCCCACCTGCAAGTTGAATGGAGCCCATGGGGCACTTCCCAGATGGGAATATGACCTCCAAATTTTTGCGACTAAAAGTTTCTGTCTACCTGAACTGAATGCTGCAGTATGATGCACATATGTTTCAGAGTAACGCCCTATTTTGTCCTCCTGAAATCTGGTGGATTAGAGAGGGGTGGAAAGCCCTCCTTTCCCCACACTGCGTTGTCCTTGTGCCTGGTAATGCACCGGAGAAGACATTCCTGCTTGCATGTAGGCTAAGCACATGGACAAGAATCCGGGGAAATCTGGTTTCTTGTTCACATGCAAAATTACACATTGACAGGACTCTGCTCCTCTTTAGACACCTTGCTGCTCATGTGAGCAAAATGACAGGAGAAAAGGTGGGTGGGTGGGTAGGTGCCTTTCTCTATTCATCTTGATTATGCCAGATTCTGGAATGCCTGAATAAGGCTCAGGTGCCATTGAAAGCAATGAGATTTACTCTACAGTAGACATGTTGTGTATAGTGCTATACTGTAAGTGTATCAGAATTCTCCCACTCTTGTGTCCTACTTCTGGTTTCCATGCTTCTAGTTTCATGACACAGAGAATGATGTACTGTAAATATCTACCAGTTTCATTTGAGTTGTGTTTTTTAGAATCCCAGCAACACTCTCCATATTACATTAAGAGACTTTTTCCCCTTCTCCTGCAATACAATTTATGTGTACTGCACATTTATCCCAAGGTATACTTCTTCTCACTTTTTAAACACATTTTCCTTTGACTAAAGTCTCCTTCATGCATTCGTATTACATTAGATAATCACCAACTCACCATGCATTTAGAGGAAGCACTCTAGTCTTTCTATCCTCCATCTCCAGTTTCATCATCCTGGACTTGTGGAGAGCAATGGGTTCAAACAGAAGAGTTCTACACCTGAAGGAGAAAAAAACACAAATGCACAGTTACAAGATGGTGGCTAACTGGCTCAGTAATACTATGAGTGAGAAGGATTTTGGAATTCTTATAGATCAAAAGCAAAATATGAGCCAACAGTGCAATATGTCTAGAAAAAAGCCAAGCGCTATTTTAGGCTGTATCAGTAGAAGTATAGCCTCCAAATCCCGCAAGGTAATCATTCCCCTCTATTTGGCACAAGCCAACGTAGATGCTGCTGTTTCAGTAATGTATACATGCTAAAAATTCCAGTTCGTTCTAGGACTGCTCTATTTGGAACTTTGTCCTGCCAGGTGATACCAAAAATGCGTCGGAGACAATGCATATGGAATGTGTTCAGCTTTCTCTGCACAAAGGGTCCAGGACTCGCTGCAGTACAGGAGTGTGGTCAGGACACAGGCTCTGTTGACCTGGATATTGGTATATGCCGTCAGTTTCTTATTAAGCCATACTCTCTTTGTGAGTCTAGAGAACATGGTAGCTGCTTTGGCAATGCGTTTATCCAGCTCGAAATCTAGAAAGAGTGTCTCAGAAATGGTTGAGCCAAGGTACACAAAGTCATGAACAACCTCCAATTCTTGCGTGGAGATGGTAATAGAAGGAGGTGAGTCCACACCCTGGCCCATGACTTGTATTTTCTTCAGGTTGATTGTTAATCCAAAGTCTTGGCAGGCCTTGCTAAAACGATTCATGAGTTGTTGGAGGTCTTCAGCAGAGTGGGCAACAATGGCTGCATCATCAGTGAAAAGCATTAGTCAGCAGGAGATGGACTGCAATCAAAGAATCAGTTTTACAAAGTGTTTTTGTATCTGTTCAAGTAATTATCTTCCACATGTAAGGTGTAAGTGCAAATGCAGAGACAAAATATCTGTACTCTCAGGTGTGAATAACCAAAGAGTGCCTTCTCTGGGGTGGGGGTAGGGGCAGCCGTACCGAATGACCAGTTTTGCTCTCATTTTGTGGCACCCAAAGAGACTAGGTGAGGAAGGGAACTATAGATATGGAAGCTGCCCTTGGTGTAAAATGTCGAACCAAATTAACATTGGGATCCAGACTTGGAGGGAAGGGAAGCGAGGTGGTGGTGAGAGTGGGGGTTGATGATGCCATAGTCCCTTCCACTCATAAGGGTTTGGGTGGGTTATTGTTTGTTTGTTTGGTTGGTTGGTTTTTGCCTATTATGGTATGGAAATCATGATTTTTGCTGTCCCATGATTCAAACCTGTATTGTGGCCTTTATAGGAAAGGAACAGCTGCTTCTGGGATGCAGGTGTTGTCTGAGAAAGCTGGGTAATTTATAACCAGCCCTGTTCTGCTCTCTGTTGTTAGAGTGTTTAGCCTGTAGGTTCAGGTAGAAGCACGAGAATGGAATTGCAGCTGACTTTCAGTTTCTTTGGAGCTTCTTTTTTTGCTGTAGCAATCAATTGACATACTGTAAGCAACATTAATCTACAAGCCAGACTCTGTTCCTTGGAAATGCTACCCCCACCATGCAAAATAGTGATTTTTTCCCTCTTTTGGCTTTTCTTGATTAGAAAAGTAAAATGCAGAATTAATGTCACTTTGCAAACACAGTACTTGTTGTTGTTGTTGTTGTTGTTGTTGTTGTTGTTGTTAAACACAAGGCACAGTTGATCAAAATTATAAAAAGATTGACTCAGATACATAACAGATACAAGTTTTAAGGAAAAACCTAACTATCTGTTAAATATTGATGCTGTATGTATGCTGTTCCTAATATTGCTGTTTTTTTGTAGCTCTGATGGTGTGATTTCTGAGATCTGTAACTGCTTGTAGTACTGGGTGAAATTTCTTGATATTGTTCCCAAAGCCCCAATGACTACAGGGATCACTGTAGTGTGTTTGATTCAGTAGTGAGATGTTTCGATTGCCAGGTCTCTACTCTTCAACTCTGGCATCTCCTGGAATTGCAATGTCAATGATCCAGTCATTTCTTCGTTTTATCTCTATTCTGTCTGGTATGTTGTGTTCAAGGTGTCTATCAATCTGGATCTGGAAATCCCACAGGATCTGGACATCATCAGTTTCTGACACCTCTTCTATCAGATGTTCCCATGGGTTTTTTGGAGGCTGGCAAGTTATATTTTTTGCTTAATGACCAGTGCCGGAATTTGGCCACTCTGTCATGTCTAACTTTGTAATCTGTTTGTGCAATCTTTGGGCATTCACAGATGAGATATGACAGAGTTTCATCTTTTTCTTAGCAGAATCAACATTTGCTCTTAGCACCAATTCATGATGATGATGATGAAGAAGAAGAAGAAACATAACATACTGGGAGAAAACAGAACCCTTATTAGATATGGCAGAAACAACAAGAACAACAATCTTAGAACTGCAGAGCTGGAAGGGACCCTATGGATCATCCAGTCCAGTCTCTCTCAAAGAGGCTCAAGAGGGAATTGAACTCCCAAACTCTGGCTCCACAGCCAGGGACTTAAACCACGGAGTTATCCAGCAGATGTTCTGTAGCAAGTGAGAGGGCTCTTGGAATTCCCATTGGTTAAAACAGCAACATGGTACAGCACATGAAGGAGGCTGAGCGATCCTCGGGTTTAAGGATATGGCAGAATTTCATTCCAGTCTGATTTGGATAGGAAATTTACCAGAATACGCAGATTTCTTGATATGTAGAATGTAAAGTTGAGCATTTTTTAAAAAATCAAACGTGAGGAAAATGTCCAGTGATATGTCGAGCCATCCAGAGCTGTTTGAATTTCTACGCTTTTGACCATATCAATGCTGAATTAGCACCATCCTCTCTTTCTTTCTGACAGACTCTTCATCTTTAAAACATACATAGGAGGCAGGAACAGTATCACCCTTTCCATGTCTCCGCTAGTAAGGAGACAAATCCGGGACACAGGTCCACTCTGCCACTACACTGAAGCTGGAACTAACCAAAGCAGAGGGAACAATTTTATGTCCATATTAACAACACAACACACCTATTGTGGGTGGGGCCCTTAACAGCGGCAATTTCCCAGCATTTTGGAGCTTTAGTGACTATCACCATTGTCATCGTCTAGTCGTTTAGTCGTGTACAGTATCACCCTTTCCATGTCTCCGCTAGTAAGGAGACAAATCCGGGACACAGGTCCACTCTGCCACTACACTGAAGCTGGAACTAACCGAAGCAGAGGGCACAATTTTATGTCCATATTAACAACACAACACACCTATTGTGGGTGGGGCCCTTAACAGTGGTAATTTCCCAGCATTTTGGAGCTTTAGTGACCATAGAAAGACCTTAATGGAAACATGTCCAAGGGTGTTTGTTAATTAATTTACAGCTTTAGGTGTGCACACACAGGCATTTATAGAAACTATGGATGGGATGTATGGGTTTAGCACTTTTTCAGCTTTGCAATCCAGAAAAATGCTGTATTTCAACTTGATAGAAATCCTATTGTGCTGAATGAGTATTACTCCCTGGCAAATGTATTTACGGGCTGAATATTATGGCACCAGGTTGCAAAATACTGAATTAGTACTGGATCTGCTCAGTGTTTTAGTTCCTTAGCTCACTCATGGCCTGTCTTTATTAGAGTAGCAGATTCCTGCTTTGGATCTTTTAATAATGATTAGATTAATGCATGGATACCCAGTGTGATGTCATGGACAAAGTTACCACTCAGGGAGGCTTGGTTCAAATTCCCACTTGGCCACAGAAACTCCAGGGAGGATGAAACTACTTCTTGAATTTGTTACCTCCAAACTCCTATTAGTATTTCTGTAAATTGGTTCTGACTTGATAAATTATAACATAACAAGAGATGAGCGGATACTCTATTGAGGAGAAACATTGGTTCATTTGGTGTCATTGTGAATCAGTACATAATTACACAAGTAAGTCCAATGAGGTATCGAACAGAAGACTGATGAACTGCATGTAAGTCGATTCTTTAAAGCCACAGGCCTCGATAAATAATTTGCTTCTTACCTTTTACCAGGTGTAAAAGGCAAGAAAGTAATAAAAGGAGATTCCAGACCCACATATTGGAATTGCATAATATTAAAGGCAAAGCAAAAAAAGCAAAGTGTGTGGTTTATATACCACCCCATAGCTCTCAAATCACTCTCTGGGCAGTTTGCAATTTAATTATGCAGGTTATACACTGCCCCCACACCCAGCAAGCTGGGTCCTCAATTTACTGGCCTTGGAAGACTGAAAAGCTGAGTCATCCTGAGACCGTTGGGATCAAACTCAGATTGTGAGCACAGTTTTGACTGCAGAACTGCAGTTTAACCACTGCACCACGAAGCTTCTAATATTAGATGCCAGTTTCTCAGTCATGAAATACATCTTCGCCAAGCGTGCCTTTAGGTTCTGCAAGGAGAAATTAAATGCTGCATTTCTTACGGTCATTGTATTTTCTACCCTTACTTGCATTCTTACATTAGCATTAAAAACCCTAACATTAAATTGCTTTAATATCATACTTTAATATCATTTTAACAGTGCAAATATCCTGTAGGAAATTAACATAAATATATGTAAAAGTTATAAAGTTCTTTGATTTTTTTTTGTTAAGATCAATCATAATTTATCAGTCCAGAGACTGGAGCCAAGAAATTGAAAGGAGACTAGGACTTGGAAATCCAGCTATGTAGAAACTAGAAGAAATCTGCAAGAGTGAAGACGTTTCACTTGAGACCAAGGCCAAGATCATCCAGGCTGCGGCGTTCCCAGTTACTATGTATAGATGTGAACAGTTGACAATGAAGAAAGCTGACAAGGGGGAAAAAATCAATCCATTCAAAATGTGGTGTTAGAGGAGAGCTTTATGGATGCCACAGGCTGCAAGAAAAATAAGTAAGTGCTGGATCAAATCAAGCTTGAACTCTCACTAGAGCTAAAATGACAAAACTGACATATGAAAAGGCAAGATTTGCTGAGGATGGGGATGCTGTTGGGCAAAGTGGAAGGCAGTAGGAAAAGAGGAAGGCCAAACATGAGA